TCCCAAGCTCATTTCCATAACGGGTTAGGTACATATTACCGTACGTATGTACGTATCTATATGCGCGCTCGAGTTACGAATAGATGCATCACTCGGCGGATGCATCTTGCGAGAGTTACCTACTATTCGACGCGGTTTGACCTCGCCCGACTCAACGGAAGGCTCTCCAAATCTAATGACACGTTGCGCATTAATTTCGAGAATCATTTTGATCATTATGAGGCAGTATATAACGAAATATGGTGATGTTTTGTGAAGGCTGTGTTACAGATTTTGATAAAAGCCGCGGCTCGCGGAAAATTCACGGTATATTAATTCTTTGCGAATAAACGGATTTTTATTGTGGCTGCCTATCCATTCATTTCATAGCAAAAATGATTTTTGAACACATAAAATTTAATTCTTTTAAATGCTTGAGGTCCATTTAATAAATAAACGTAAAATAATATTGTTGGAAAAATATAAATTTCTGTAATATTCTGATAGGAAATCGATATTTATTGTGTAATTGCTTTTATATAATATGGACAATACTAAAAAAACATTATCAGATATTTTAACTCAGATATATTGTGAATTATTGTAGTGCCACACGCAGCATGGCAAAAATGGCCCGATAAAAGTTCCGATAGGATCTCGTCAATCTCGTCATGAATCTGACTATGGCCAAAATACCGAATTGTCAGTTTGTCAAGTGGATAAATCGTGCAGTTAGATAATATCGTCGAATGGACAAATTGGTTAACGTGTTGCGCTGGCAATAACAGGTTCACTGAAATGTCGGAAAAATTGCCGGGAAAAACTGGGAAAAATCAGCAAAATTGAAAATGAAATACAGGAAAAAGAGCCATAGAAAATATCGAGGGTCCGGCATGAGTAGCGCGTGTAAAACATGATAGTGCATAACGTCGAACTTCTCTCGTACTAATAAAATGTAAAACGTCCCAGCGGAGCACTCGGGGCGTTCCGCGGTCGGGAGCGACGACAAAGTACGCTTATCAACCTTTAATAAAACGACCGTGTTGCATAATTCACGCACTAATTTATGCGGCAACTACTCTCCGCACCGTTAGTGGAAGCCCCGTGTTCCGCACCGGCGAGCACCGTCCGGCTCGATCGCCCGACGGGATCGCGCGGACCGGAGTACTTTCCAATTCGGCGATTATTTGGACGGGTCTGGGTCAAAGGTTTCGTTGTTTGCTTGCCCGTTTAGCCCGCCGGAGCCTTCGTAATCGCGTGTTTGCCGAGGGAGCCGGCGGACATGTAACCCCGGACACCTCCTGATTGGCAAACATGCATATTTTATCCGCGACGGCTCTCGCGTTCAGATAACGCATGTTGCCCGTATCAATTATTCGTCCTCCTCCTCTCCCCCCTCCCCCCCCCCCCTTTTCCCCATTCGACGCGGCTTTCTCTCTCTCTAATGGGGACGAGGTTTTAATTGAAATGTAATCCCAATTAAAACGAATCCGCAATCCTCGACGCACGAGCGCGTGTAATCATGTTAGCGAAATGAAATGTCCACTCGAGCACGAGTATGCAACCGTCGCGTCGCGGAGAGAACGAGCAGTTTTGCGAACGGTAATCGGGGCCCCGGCTGTCACTTTTCCATGTGAGCAAGTATTTATTTATTCCCTCATAAACGTTGAATGTATCATTGTTCTATAATTTGTGGTGCCCGATTGCTTCGAGTTCTATAAGCAACTAATTTTTCACAAAGATAGAAAGTAGTAAACTAATTGAAATAATTGTGAAAATTGATATAACGGGGTCAACAAAGTATTAAAATTTTTTAGCTATACATATAGACTATAAATATGTAAGCTTTTTTTTATTTTATGAAATAAATTATTATGATCGGAATCTAGAGATTTTTGAATAATAACACTATTGAATCACAACACCATTTTGCAACACGAATGTGAATAATCATTTTCCGTCTTGTTTTTGCCTATTGAACGCGAATCCATTGACAAAATTTGGCCGTGACAATTTTATTAACGGATTTAGTGTTTAGTATGGAAAAATACGTCGAAAATGATTATTTACACTTGTGTTGCAAAAAAGATCACTTTGATAGTATAATTAATAGGTACACACATCGTCATTCACTTTCTCAATATATTTATTCAGTTTCTTTATCCTTAACGACTTATCGTTATTTATGCATTTGAAATATACAGTCTTATATCTGACATGACTCGCATTGTCACGTATATACAATAATTTTCTCAAAATATTACGTAACAATTTCAAACGCGCCCTTAATCTTGAAATATATTCCCTTTTTCTAAACATATGAGATGTTACATAGGATTTGCGTTTCATCGATGTGCTACACAATACCTTGATCGAAGGCTGTGCGTATTCATCTGCTGCAAGTTCCAATCCATATCTTGATCCGTACACAGTAGAAAAAGACTATTCGTTTGTATAATATACATTGCAAACATATGTTCCAGTAGATATCGAAAAGTATCGATTCCAGAAGTTCGAGAAGCTTAAATAACTCTATGAACTCAATTAAATGTACATATTGTCGAGCAGTTTTATTTGCAGGTAAATGTTTAACAAAGTGAACCTAATTTTCATGCAGGATGGAAAGTGCGAAACGCGATGCTGACAACTCGTTAACAAATTGCGTGCTAATATTGAGGTTTTACTCACTAATTTACTCGCTATCATTTAATACTATTGCCTTACTTAAGCTATCTTGTATTTAAATGTGCCGTTTATCCTTTCCAGCACTTTCGCGAATACTTTCTATATTTCACAGGCATCTGAAACTACTTTCGGATTTCCTGATTCAATCGTACGATGTCGTAATTGAAACGAAGATAATGCCATATTTTTTTTATACACTTATACAACGTATTCTTTGAAATGTAGTATAACGAATATTGATGGAGATATTCTCTCTATACAATTTATGAAAATCAAATAAAATATTACAAGAAAACTTGCATAATGTTATGTAAAAAAAACTTTTGTAAATTTTATACTATACATACTGAAAGCTTTTTATCAATAATTTCTTACATTTTTTCTTTATCAGTTATTTTCTTATGTTGCAATTGACAAATATTATTGAATAAAATGGAACAAAAAAGAGAATGTTGTTTGCAAAAAGCAATAGTTATTCTTATAAAATGATTATTTCTGAGAAGTTAATAACAATTAAATTGTAAATTTAAAGATTATATAGTATTTGATTTCTTATATAATACGATATTTGTAAAATAAGTATAATGTATATACGCATGATATAACATGTAAATGAACATCATTAGCAATAACTTGAATTGCAATTTTAGCATTAAATTATTTTTTAACGCAATACAGGAGAAGATATGTAAATTAAATTATTCATAAAATCTTAAATTTAACATAAAGTTTTTTCTAAATTAGAAGAATATGCCTAAATATTAATAATTGAGTCATAATCTTTAGTGTTAAGGTCGTGTTACCGTTCTCTATGCTATCACAGATGATTGGGGAAATATTCTAATAGATTAACTATAAGATGCGTTGAATTTTCAATACAATGTAAAAATTGTGCGATGACAGAGAATGAAATATAATGATTTCTCTGCATATTATAAGTTATAGAAGTACAATACTCTTCTTATGGCCAAGTAGATTATAAATTAGATATAGTTAAATATCTTGATAGCAAACACCTGAATCGTTGCGAATAAAACAGAAAACTGTCTCGTGCAAACCTCTTACCACGATTTATAAACTTTGTTTATGTATGGAGTTGAAAAGCCATTTGTGAGCAAGGATTTAAACTGTAACAGGTTCTTATCTATTCACGCGCTTAAGTTGTAGCTTGTCCAAACAAACTGATTCTTAACATTGCGATAGTATGAATATCTCTTATTAGAAACATCTAAAAATACTACTTTATATAAAAAGATTCTGCAGGACTTTGAAGTTATTTGCAACCTACAATAGTTGAAATTATATACAATGTTTACCTTGTTTATACCTAATTTAGTGTAGTGCATAATTCTTAGAATTATATGGGTCCATAATTACATTTCCGAAACACACAAAATTAAATTTTACTTAGACAATTTACAAATTTTACATATGTTGTATGTTATTTTCTTGTTTAAAAAAATTTTGTCATATTACAGGTAATCATTTAAATGTACAAGTATATATTATATTGCCTCGCAATATATAGATATTAGAAATACCAGTAATATGGCATAATTAAAAAGAAAGAAAAAGCAAGAGAGATGGATATTTTTCATTGGAAATTTTGTTAATTAGATATTAATCTAAGGATTCTAAGGTGAATACATCGATATGGAAATTGTTTCTTAGGAAATTTTGGTACAGTTTAAAATTGGAGGGAATCGAAGGCATTTCATTGTAATATTTTAGCGATTGCAATATGCGAGCGTTTCAAGTGCTATAGTGTTCCTTCATCATTATATTGTTTTTTTTTAAATGACGAGCTTGTATAAATGCGAATAACTGTGAAGTGAACATTATCTTTTAATAATGGAATAAAGGAGAGGAAGCGAGAAACGTGCGGCTGAATATGGGGATTGGATTTATCATTAATCTGCTTTACCCGGATTTGCTATTTCGTAATCGCGTCAATAACGCACGACGTATTATTTCAGCAATATTCCCAAATTTAATTGCGTTCATGGAGATATTATTTCGCGCTTATCACGATTACGATATAACGCGATCTGTACATCCATTTTTACATTATTTCTGATGCAGCGTTCATATCTCCGTCAAAACAAGTTTGCATACCGTTTAAAAGAAAGAGTTTACTCGTAATTTACAATTATCTGGCCAAGCATTGAAAAACTTACACGACTTTTATTTCATCTAATTATTATCTTAAAGTTACATTCATGTTTATTATTAATTAAGCTTATGTCGTATAATTTGTCTAATAATCGAGCATAACAATTTAAGAATGTTTAGGCGACAATTTAGGCCCACTTTGTTAAATTCGGAAAATCGATAATACGGGACTTTTTGAAACGCACAAGTACACGCTTCACACATTTCGCGTTAAAATAAGAAACTATCGAAACGATTGACTAGCGAACATAGATATTTCTGCAATGAATCATCTCACATGCAAACTTCCGTGTAGGACAAAAGCTTCGTCGCTTCGACAATTTACTGAGCACTATGATTTTTTCATTTGGCCGAAGTCAGAATTCTTCGGCGAATACAGACCCAACTTCAGTGTCAGTTCTTTGGGTTTCCTAATATTATTTCTAATGGGGAAAGGACTGAAGTTCGTTTTCGGACTCGGAGTGGTATCAACATCTTCGTCGTCTTTGTTCACGTTTTCTATGTTACCGAAACTCAGTGTCGATTTCTTGTAACAGTTCGATCCTTTATTAGTTAGATCTCCATACTCAACAGTTATTCTGCCCGGAGATTCTGGATGTGAAACAGCAGTCTTTCTCGTTTCTTCCGTCAGATTTGGAGATAGTCTCGGAGTGTAATGATTTGGACTAGAAGAGAAGTACTCATCTCTGTATTGACGATTGGGTGATAGCACATTATAGTCGCAATGCCTCGTCGGTAAATACGAACTGATATCCGTTTCGGATTCCACCATCGCATGCGATAACGTGCTCAAGGGCTTATCGTAATCTGTACTTTTATGAGAATAATCCTTTGGTGACAAAGTACTGTACTTGTGTAGAAGACTGTCGCTACAATAGTTGTCCAAACATTTTTCTTCATTGCTGATATATTTCGGCGTAACCGCTTCGTTGTTACTCTTGCTGTAGTAAGAACTTCCCGTATTTAAGGAAATCGCCAATCTGTTATCCTGATTGGCCGCACATTCGCCGCCGATCGACTTTGGCAGTTCGTCATCGTATCTTACGCGAAATTCCAAGGATTCCTTTGACAATATCGGACTTTTCAAATGTAGGTCGTACGGGTCGATAGAGAGCCTCGATTTGGAATCTGTGTATTCAAATGTGTGATCGCTTGGCTTATCGTAAGCAGGATAAGGACTATCCCGTGGAGATAGTCTGTCCGGAATGTCGTAGCTCTTGTAAGATTCGTAAGTATTCTTCAATGGTGTAGTATCAAATTGGCTCGTTTTCGGCACGTATCTCGTCGCGGTAGGTACTTCCGGATAAGTTGAAGTATTCGAAATGTATGAAATAGGAGATAATCGTTTCGGCGGTATTTCTAGACGTCTGTCGAGATGCATTTGTACATATGAAATTTTATCGAGTTTTTCCAATTCTCTGTAGATGTCTATGTCGCTTTTAGGCGACATGCTCTGCTCGTATTTCAACGTCGCAAATGGAAATTTTTCAGGCTGAGCTACGACTTCGTGCGTAGGTTCCAAGTCGTTTCTGATTTCAATGGAATCATTGGAGGATTTGTAAGAAAATACATTCGTTGAAATGCTAGTAAGATCGAGACCTTCCGTCTCGCTTATATTCTGACTTGATGAACCTTTTTCTAAATTAATCATGCTCGGTGGAGATTCCTCCTCATAGTTTGCTAATAATTTAGAGAGTTCTTCGTTTATCTTGTGATCTATGAGCGCCTCCCGAGTATCCAGGTAATCGTTCGATATGATCTCGTCTACGTCTAAATGATCAATTTGTTCCGTATCATCAATAATAGATAATTTCGTTAATTCTTCATTGATCTTTGCATCAAATTCCGATACGCTGGTGGCGCTCATATTATCAAAGTCCTTGAAATTTATTCGTGCCAATTCCTCGTTTATTTCGTGCTCGTTTAGGCCCATTTTTTCGAGAATCGGACTGAATATCTTAGAAATTTCTTCGTTTATCGGACTGATGGTAATTTCCTTAGATATTTCCTCCAGATCTGGCAGACGTTTCTTTGCCTGACAAGCTAAAATCTTGTGCAATATGGCCGAATTTTCTTGAATAATTTTTAACGCCCGATCGCTACTTCTGCGTCCGTTGTCGCCTTTCTTTCGTGGTTTTACCTTTGTCCATACACCCACCTTTGATTCTCTACCGTCGTCTAGATCGCTATTACTTTTGTTACAAGTTATACTCTTCAATATACTGTCGCTATTCTCATCGATGTTGATTTTAGGATGCACGACATAAGACTTCCTACTTTCATTTGTTATATTTATGTCTGGGATTTCTAATCGTCTCTTTGAAAATCCGCTCGCTGAATTGCTGAAGGTATCCTGTCGTCTTGCCTCTAGGTTTTTCATGTCCTCCCAGATATCGCTCGATTTCTTCGTTAACATATTAGTTTCAGGTGATCCATCGCTGAGAGCCTTTGCTTCTAGATGCTTCATATCTTCGAGAATATCGCTACATCTCTTCTTCGCCATGGTCGTATTAAATTCATCTATCGAAGCCGACGATTTTAAATCAGTACATCTTTTTTCCAAACTGCTCGAGCTCCTCTCAGTCAATCTCGATCGTTCTCTACGTCTGTAATTGTAATTCAGATAATGCTTGTCGAGCTTCTCGTGCGGCAATTGAGGCACCACATCCTTTTCAGAGAGCGGATCGTCCGCATTGTCATCAGCAAAGTCTTCGCTTTTCCGATAGGACTCACCACCGATCGATTCGTAAGAGCTCAAATCAGCTTTGCTCTTCTGTGTATAATTCACCTTCAGTTCTGTATTCAACGCAAATTGCGGTCTGACATACAATTCGTTTCTCTCGGAGATTCCTTCGTTTTCCTTACTCTCGATTGATTTTGCTGAAGCATCTAGTTTTGTCTGATATCCTGAAAACTTGGTCGAATCCTTGGAGCTGATCGATTTCGGATCGGGCGAGGTTTCAATACTCTCTATACTGCCTCTTCGTTTGCCTGCACTGTATGGTGAAGGTGTTTTCTGATTAGGATTTGCGATAGGATAAAATGGTGAAGTCGCACTGCTCAAGTCCATCGGCGAATCCGACACTAGATCCTGGTCTCGTTTTCCGTAGTTTGAGGTATATCTTATAGAGTTGGCACTTACAGGCGATTGCAGATCGGAACTGAATGACCTCTCGGAAGACTTAGCTTTGCCCGGACTGCACGAATCGCTAGAACTGCTAATCATCAATTTCGGACTCATATCGGACTTATTCCTTAAAGAGTCTGTACTGATCGGAGTCGACGGGCTCGATTTTTCATAGGATGTTTTCTTTGTGATCGGCCTTGAATCGTCAAGTGCGATATCCGAACTTACAGAATGGAGAACAAGAGTCTTAGAATCCGAGCTGATAGATGAGCAAGCCGATTTGTCTATTGTAAAGTCATGGGAGTCCGATCTGATTGGTGTTCTTGGACTCACTGTCAGACTAGAAGGCTTCGAATCAGGACCCATCGTCTCTCCTGAGCTGAACGACTTCGTACTTTCTGGAGATTTCGGGCTTTTTTTCAAATTGCAATATAATTTTGTCTGTACTATGGGTTGCTTGTCGCTAAAAGCGTCTCTCTTTTCAGGACTCGTCAGATTTTCCGGGTTTATCGCGACATTATATATTTCGTGCGACAATTTCGTCAGTTTGTCATCCATTGTTACCGGAGAAATTGGAATGTGACCTACGACGTATCTCTTGGAATAGAAAGATCGTGATTCTGTTGCGACATTCAGAGCTCCGCTATTCGTAAAATTCGTGTCATTCGAGTTATTATCTTCACTTTTTGAATCCAAATAAACTTTGCTGGAATATCTTAAGGATGATTCAAAGTGCTTGTCATTCGTGTCTAGAAGTGTAAGAAATTTATCGTAATTCTTATCTTTGGACACACTCGTTTGTTCTCTGGAACTATCTCGTAATATATTCGTAGTAGTTTCCATTATATCCATTTTAAGATCTGTACTATCTTTACTGCTAGCTCGGATGATTTCTTTTTTCTCTTCTAAATCTTTCAGTCTATCTGTTCTATGTATCAGAATATCATCCGTTTTCTCGACGAGATTAGATTTAACGCTTAAATAATCGTAACTATTCACAATCTTCGATGATTTTGGCGCGTCTTCACTCGACGTATAATCTTGCAACTTCGACTCCGTTTCTTTTATTTGCAATTTCTCGACTGGATAATCGCCCACCGATAGCTCGTCATTGCCGCGCGCGCTCGATGTTTGAGGGACTGTCGTATTATTGTCATCTTCGGCCGAGAGTCTCCGTATTTGATCGGTAATTTTGGCGATCGAGATTTCGGACAGAGATGGAGACTTATCGCGTTCGGTTCCGAAATCTGTATCCGTCTGTGGCTCCTCCACGATCATCGTCGGCTCGTTTTTAATACACGAACGCGCAGGTGTACTCGCTGAGGTCGACGAACCCTCGTAAGCATGCTTTTCATCGTCCGTCGCCATGACGTAAGAATCGGACGCTGACGTAAGTTCCTCGCTATCGACGTCGCTCAGACGATCCGGCTCGTCGCACAGCTCCGTCGATGTACTGTCACTGTCACTATCAGCGGTACCTCGGTTGGGTGACGTTACAGAAGACGTCTCTGGAGGCGATTGTAAAAATGCTGTACCAAAAGCGTCTGCATCTGTAATATGCAAAATAGGAACTGTCAATAAATTGATATTTCACAGTTCTAAAGCCACGATTAATCTGAGAGACAAATATAACAATTGATATTACAGATGATAATCGTTGGTCGATAAATGGATATAATTCTAGAAATATGATTATATATATATATCTACTATAATTTATACGTGTTAATCTTGAATCGGAGGGAAATTATTATTCGCGCGCGTGATAGAAAGACGACTTGACGCGACAAGATACAAAACCGGATGTTGACCTATCTGCCACACCTGCGTCAATACGCGTACTTGCTGTTATCGAACGTGAAGCAAGTGGTCCTTTATATTCCGGAGCATTGGAGGTTCAGTAATTGATAAGCGTTACCATCGCGAATCTTACCATCAGATGGAAGTTCCATCTTATTCTCTGCTGGTATGCTTGCCATGAGTAGGTCAATACGACATCGATTACCCGACACAAAGTTTTCAGTGTAGATTTTATAACAGATATGCAATTTCATTTTTGTTTTTATAAATTTCAATAATAACTGTTTAGATAATAATATGTACAAAAACGTACAAAATATTTAAAAAATCAATAATTATTAATTATAACATATTTTTGTTATCAACAATGTATTACATTTATAATTTTGTGCACATATGTATGTACATAAAAAATATATAATATTGTACAAATATATAATATTGTATAATAT